CTAGAAGAGTGATGAGTGGACATCGAATCTCGAGCTGTCTTCGTCCACGGTATTTCCTAATCTCATGAGTAGAGGGGGCGTAATTCTGTGCTACTGCAACGACTTACAGTGTGAACTATGGCATGATAAGGAGACGCAGGTCACCGACTCACTATGGTACCGTTTGCGCTACAGATACAAAAACAATTGCCTCATGTCGGTGGTTTATCGCTACCTTTACTGTTCACTCCATAGATGCATTCCCACCTAATATCGACAGTGGAAGATGGTTGCTTCCAAGCAACAGCCGCGTTCTAATCTGTGGCAATTTCAACGTACGCGAGTTGGAATTCTCTCCATCCCTCAGCGAAGCATTCAAAGCCGAATAACAAGGTTTTGGCACGACTGTTCCACTGTACAATCACATGAGCTCACCCAACAGGTACAAAGCTGATAACAAACCGGTGGCACGAAATCTCACAGTTACAAGTAAAGAACTCACGATCGACAAGATATTTGTAGACTCCCAACCAAGATTCAGCAATCCTTATAATTACGTGTGCTATGCTGGATTTGGGCAGATACAAACTGGTCCAATGCGTGTCATCTCACGCTACGACCTCCTGGTAGATCTAGTTGCTATGACGGGTTGCGAAACAATGTAAAGGGGTTTCCCTGGCAGGATCCGGATTCCGTTTGTTGGATGTTCCTGCAGCCTGATCTAACCGCTTCTGAAACTAAGCAGGTTCGTTTCATCAAGCCATAGCCGTTCATCAAAAGCAGGACGTGAAAACGCATTTCATGAGGGAAAGCAGTTTGGCAGGTTGTTATAGCTCATCCTTATCCCGGAAGCCCTTGCGACCACTTGGCCGAGCACATCCAGTGTACTTCTCTTGTCCGTGAGGGAAATGTAACTCACCAACCATATCAGATTTGTGAAATTGCCAAACACATAAGCTACCATACAAGCGTGGTAACAGTATGCAGAACGGTACGGTATTCTCACACTTGGCACATGGCACGGACTAAGTAGCCAATGTGCTACGGATGCAGTATGCCCTGACCTCCCAACGACAATTGCACCAGTGTTGCATACGGCAGACCATCGCCCTACTTTCAGCACTTACGTCCATCATGTTAACCCCTACAAATTCGTTGAGGAAACTGCTCTCACTGCGCAACTACGGTTCTCATGGAATCGACCGCATTCACCCGAGGGCACTGGATGTAGCAGCAGCAATGCTCGCCGAGCCATTGTCACCTTTTCTTCCATACTGCTTGATTAAACAAACGGTGCCTACAATGTGGACACATGGACTAATCATTGTTGTTCGAAACCCGAAAACTGTCCTCCTCCCTGTACGCTCAAATTGATGGAGGAAATCACCGCGAAGACTAGTCGACCATCTTGAACGCTGTAGCATCATTGCACCGGAGCGGTGCAGTTACTGTAAGCTCCGGTCATGCACAACCAACGTTGCAAGCGGTAGTTGGAAACAAGCGGCTGACATAGAGAAACGGACCGATGTTATTTCGGTCGACTTCTCTAAAGCCTTAGATCGTCTGGACTACCGCATTCTTCATAGCAGGCTAGAAAGCAACGGTGTTGGTGGTCCTGTTCTGGGGTGGATGGGGTATTTCCTGCAGTAACTGCATGAACTCAGGTTTGAGCTCGAAGTGCGCAATCCGATCCGGTTAATTACGACTGCGGAGTTCCACGATGATCAGTGCTGGTTACCGTGTCTGCATGTCGTCCGCCTTTAGTAGCTTGCGCGTTTGGTGGACTTGGCTTTCCTACCTTTCTCTGGTACTTTTAAAGTATGGCGGGTCTTCAGCTGCCGGGGAGATAAATATGCACTTCCATAAGACCCACGCACCTCGTATGCATGAGCACCCGACAATCTGCTCCAGATTAATTCGTCCAAGTATAAGTTGGTCCACATTCGTCATTGGCCAAATAGCGTAAATATACTTGGAGACGAAACCTTGCTTCGGTCACGCGGGATAGTGACTTGGGATATTTAATCAGGCTAACCTCGGTTGCTAAAACCAGTCTGAGAAGGCGCCAAAGACACGACGGTCTGTTGCACAAAGCATTCCGGTGGAATGATCCATCTGTATTTCCGCAGCTTCTTTGGACATATGTGCGGGCTCATGTGAAATGCGTTATATAGGCCTGGCGGCCATCATAGAAACGAGATGTTGCAGCGCTCGACATTCAAAGGCGGAGAGCCACCAAGCCTGTCAGTGGATACTTTGCGCGTCTCTACTATCCTAGGCAAAGCTTTTACAGCCGTCAGTTCCGGCGTCTTAGAGACGACTTAATAATAACCAACCAATTTGTGATTAACTCCAACCACATCTGACACCCCTACTGACACAACAGCATTTCACTTTGTCCACGCAATGCAGCCGGTTAGAAGGCCGCCGGAACTTTCACTCTCTCCGTGTATGTCAGCCATGGAACTCCCTCAGTGGTTTAAACTACGTATTGACTTTACACTTACGGACCTGCATTACGAAATTTAGGCTATGCACATTTGGAGACTAGACGAGAAGAACTGACTAGCTCCTTTACGCGTGCTTCCCTTTGGGTTCAATGGCACATCTGCCAAAAGGCTTTTATACTTCGCACCTTGTTTCCTTTTTAGAATTTTTGGTTCATCATCTTGTCATCATACCCAAGTCGCACTCGCTTGGTATTTTCCCCAAAATATGCCATATTTATATTGTTCTGCTTTGTTTGTTGTGGTACATGTAGAATGTCAATACTTTGGCTGGTACTACTGCTTGTTTATACGCAATGCAATGCATGATCTTTTCTGAAATGTTTTCACCGTGAACTTAAGTGAAACGGGAACCCCTTCGTCATGCAATGTTAGTTTCGAAAGATATCAGCGATTTTCTATTTCTGTGGCCTTTCATAAATTATAAATGGTGTTTCTGCTGCGCACAATCATCATCCTCATCATCATCATCATACACGTTAGCTAGAGGTGGGGAACACCTCAGCTACTGTGCCGCAATACACAGAGAAAAAAATGAGAAAGAAAAAGAAAACAACTGGTGAAAGCTGGCTGAGCTACCGGTAACGGATGGACATCGTTCCGATAAGCTACCAGCCGGCTGCTGTGCACCAAAAAAAATTATTATGCAAAATTAAATAAGGCTAAGTAATGAGATAGTGGTTGGAGGGGGAGGCTAAGAGAGATGGGGTGGGACAAAGAAACTCACAGCACGAACGCCACTGAGGTCGGCTCCTAGCCATATCAGCAAGTGTGTCCAACCAAACGTGTTCATCGTCTTTCGGACCCCAACCAGGGAGCCGAGACGCTCCAACCGAGGCCAGTTCAGTAGTGAGGACCTTCATTCCTCTGGACCAAGTCATCGCATGGCCACCCCTCCTCTTCTTCCATCCACACCCCGGCGCGCAAACAACACACGTCGCGGAAGTCGGTGGGCTGGCATGCGTAACACGTGGCCGAGCCATCGGAGCCTGATGCGTGAAATAACGGTGCTGAGCGGTTCATTTCCTTTGCCTGTGCCATAAACAAGGCGTCGAACACGCTCGTTGCTCACGCGGTGTTCCCACCAAATGTGAGCTAAATCGCGAAGGCACTGATGGTCGAACGTAACTAGCCTCTTCAGGTCCGCTGTTTTAAGCGGCTAGGTTTCACAACCGTACAATAGAGTCGAACGTACTTCTGCATTGTACACTCTACCCTTCAGGGCAAGAGTGATGTCGCGCCGGCGCCATAAGTGGCGAAGGTTAGCGAAAGCGCCCCGAGCTTTAGCTATAAGATTCGTGGTTTCATCTTCAATCCCACGGGCGCTGATACAACTTCCCAGGTAGTTGAATTTTTGAACGACTTTTAGCTGATCCCCACCAAGGGTCACACAATACCGCACAATACCGCGAAGCGGCTAGAAAAGCTTTCAACGCTTCGCCATAATGGTTTACAACGCGAAAGTATGGAGCAGGAGGTTTGGTTGCATGCGTAACAGCAGCAAGTTCCTTTCGAACATATATATATATATATATATATATATATATATATATATATATATAAAGTCCATGTCATCTGCTCACCCACGAGTAATGGTGGACTCGTACTAGTGAAAGTCAATGAAAATTGCTATTACATTAATCTGCCCCTAATTTGGAGCGTTAATGTTACAATAAGTCCTGACCCACCAACCGTATACAGTTATTGTTCATTCAGAGATTTTCTAGCTTTTGGATGAAGTTATTATCAACATGTCTGCTATAATCCAAGTATGTGCCGAAAAGTTTACTCTTATTGCGTTATTACGTAATAAGAAACCGTAACATCGGTGAAACTTCCATAAATGTGTGGTTGTACGGTGATGAATACCGAGCAATTCAATGCCTCAAACCTTTTATCAGTACCCGAGTGAATTATAAATGAAACGTTTGTTTTCTGTTGGTATGTTACTGCGGTCACGTAGTATTTTGTTGAAATTAGTTCTCAATATTCGAGTTTTTAGTTTGACAACTAACAGGAAGGCAGGAAAATCAGCAGGCCCATGACAGCAGACCGAGATACAGTGGAAATATCACATGCTGATGAAAGCACTGTGGGGGAACCCACAGCTACATTACTTACAGTATGAAATAAACATCGAAACGCACGGCACTGCAGGAACGCCGCCGAGACTTCTTTTGCACTTGTGTCTACTTTTGCCGATGCTTGTTAACTCCCACAATTCAAACAAGTCCATCACATACTGATATCCCGATTCCGCTTAAGTACAGTATGCGTTAAGTTGCAACTTTAAGCGAAGTTTAACAGCGTAGACTCCTAAACTGCATCCAGAAAGCTACGGAAACGCTGCTCAACTGGCAGCAATCAAATCAACTCGCTTGATTTTGGAAGGGTCAATGGATGTTACATTGTACACTAACTGTGTGATACAATCGGAAGTTTCAGCCTTCTCTACTTAATGGCGGGAGACAGACAGGAAGTTGATAATAATTTATATGAATGTCGACTACTTACCGAGGAATCACACATACTCCTTTTAGCTTCAGGGAAAAAGGATAAGACCATAGGTTTCGTTTTGCTCTGCGTTCTAATCCGTCGTTCAAAACAGGCTCTGCAAGTAACTGTAAACTTTCATTACACCAGGAATGGATGAATTTTGGTGAGAACTTCACTCGTATCTTCTGCGTTTCTCCCACCTTCATGGGGCAGATACCTCCGACTAGTTCAAACGGGCCGCTTGCTAGCAAAGGCCTAGGAGTTAGCTGTAAGGAGTATGAAATTGACCAACCCAACAGTGTAACATAGTTTGATCATATAAAATAAGCTCAAAAACGAAACGCACACATCTGGTTCCGGTCTTATTAAATTGTTTCCCAATTCGGTGAATGTTGCTAAACATTAACACTAAATAGAACAACATACATGTATGCATTGGGCCAACACACTTTGCCGTAAGTCTGTGGCGGACCATGCTGGCTGGAATTGGGAATAACAGCTCTGATTAGGACAAGGCTGTTGGATCTTTTCATGGGAACAAGTCAAATTACTTTTATTTAATGGGTATGTTTGCGTGTTGTTGGCTATAAAGTCTATATTGGAGGTTAGAAATTTTCTAATATCTTAAGGATCTGATTAACAATTGCGGGTAGTGAGACTGTAAGATTCGCTGTATAGCTCTGAGCCAAAACGCCGAACTTAGTCGTCGACAGGTTCCCGACCGGCGCTACAGCATCCATTAAGTTCGCTTTTTGAGAAAAAATGTACATCAAACTGGACGCTGGTTAGTAACTTTATTATATATGGCTCAGTCTCTGAGTAAATATGGCCTCTTTATTCGAGATATACAAAACAGCTGGTGGAGGTGGTCTTAAGCGAACAATGCATTTTCCAACCAACTTCCGGTTTTAAATTTTTTCGCATAGTCACAAAAATTATAGAAAGTAGCTCTATCGTGTTTTGGCACTCAGAAAGGCTACTTGAGATAAATGAACAAAGACAATGTTACTAAAATCACTTTTGTAGGATAACCCATTAACCTAATGCATCGCAGTGAATCCTGGTGCATCATTCCTTGTCCCTATGGTTGATCAAACTAGTACGTACTCCGTTCACTTTAAGGTACTATCAGCCGAAATCCGCCTTTGGATTGAATACAGATTTAATAATCGCGACCCTGCCTACATTCGCAACGCCAGCGTCACCAGTTGTGACGAACTCCTTCCTGCTCTGTAGCCAAATATGGTGTACCAAATGACAGCCATTTTATAACCTACTTTCTGTGGCTTTTGCTTGCCACTTAGATATGCAAATCTCAAATGACACGCAAATGTGAGAAATTCGTCTAGATTGTCAGTCCGTTATCAAAGCTTAACTTGCTGACATTTTTCGACGTTAGCCCTCATTATTTGTAGTGTGATATTCTTTGTCATTGTTGGGCCGCCAAACCCTGTGTAAGCTACTTCAAATTCGTGTGTGTGCACTGAATTGGGGCAATGGTTGTCAAATCAAGCAGAGCTCACACAAGCATGTCCCCAGACCTTATGCATACAGAGTCGGTCTGTTGTGTGAATCTAGCTGCATCACGACGCAGCTATAATGCGCAAATATAATGCGGTTGCACTGTCACTCTGACTAATAAAGCTAGAGATGGACGACGACGGCTACATCTCAACTAAAGGTTCTTATAAAACCGGTCAGGCTAGTAAACCTCCAACAGTTATGTGTATACCAACATAGGGAGTAAATCACGATAACTAAACAGTTTTCACGCGCCACGGTGCTATAGCAACCTATATTCAAACTTCAACTGTTTCGATACGACATGTAAAATTATGAAATTATGGTAGTATGCAAAAATTGCTATTTATGTAGTTTTTATTACAAGCATACCAGTTGCGAGTGGCAACAGTATCAATGGAGTGACGGTTGGAGATAAAGAATGGTGTCTTCGCTGGGAAATTATAGACGAAACAGTGGCTGTTTACCTGTAGTAGATACGGGCTTATATTTTGTACGGAAACTCCACAGATTCTGTTTTGACCAGCACACAGAGGACCGAAGTCGATACAACTCGAGCCATCATTGGAGGCAACCAGCAACGGGGGACGCACAATTGGACATGCGAGTTGCAGAAACAAAGTATTCTCAGTTCTAATAAAAGCAGTAAAGAAGGAGCAATCCGAAATGTGAGGATGAAGCATAATCTCTTAGAACTGATCATTACATTTATATTCGCAGAAGGCCGACGTGACAGGCATACACGTACCTCAATGCTTTTTGTTATCATATCAAATGTAAGTGATACACTTATTTGAACATTGATTTTGCACAACATTACTTTCGTCGCTTTCAAATTGTTAAGGCGGTAATGCTGTTATTAGCGGTTATATTTTTTCATCTGAAAAATAACCAGCCACAAAATGTGCATGATCAACTTTTAGTGCCGACAGTAAAGATACTAACATGCATTCCGGTTTCTTAAACTACTCAAATGGTGAAATATGAAAAGCTTAAGGGATTACTGGGTTTTCCTCGAAAAAGGATAACATGCTTAAAATTTTACGCGCTTTGTATGGTTGATTACAAAGGAGGCATTGGTTATTGCTATTGCATAGGTTTCTCGTCAAAACGGGAGAGACGGCTATTTTTAATTGTACAAAAGGAAATGGTGACTGCATGTAGCAGCGCTACGCAAGGACGCACTGATTATAGCGCCTCGATTGGCGATGAAACGCCCGCAGTAAAATCACTAAGTTCAGCGAACAGTCCGACTACCCTACAAAAATCTAAATTACCAGTTTTCGTTTCTATGACCACAGGGCGTATATAAAGTGGCCTATTAGTATACAGAATGTAGCCTTTAAACCCGACTACATCTGGCTTCAGTTGTGCCAATATCGTTTATAAACGACCCTGATAAACGACCAGCCATCTGTTTTGTGCGATCCTTTTGTATCTATATGACCAGAGAAGAGTTGGACTGTGTCTCCAACTGTCGAGAATTATGTCATTTATTAATTTACATGAATGCAAACGTTGCCACACGTGGGTCACAAATAAATTATAAATAAATTTGTATATTTACCGACAAACGGTACATGACCCCATAAGCGGGAGCGATCATTTGTATAGTGAAGAGGTTTCATGGTTTATGCGACGTAAATTATAATCGTAAAAGAAAATTAAATAATAGAACGACGGATCATGTTTTCTTTCCTCGGGTCTTAGACCCGAGCACTTAATATGCAAAATTTACCGATATTTGTATCATCATTTTCTAGTTTGTGAGGCTCAGGAATAGATAATAAAAGGGAGGGGATACTAGGCTGCACAGACACAAGATTCGGTATTGTAGGTAATGACGTGTAGTGGGTAAGCTAGTTGTAAACAAAGATCTGCTCATATATTTTTATACCAGCTTCTGTCAATGTTTCTAAACTTTGCTGTGAGACAAAGATCTTCAAAACGTTTGATATAGTGAGGAACGACTGTTGGGAATTTTGAAATGTGACATGGCTTGCACTCATGCGTATCTGTAGGGGTATTTTGTTCCACAGATCAGTTTGAGTTGCAAACTTTGTGCATATCAAGTAGCAGCCATTAAGTGTGGGGTAGACTGCAGCTTTAGGTAGTTCAAGTGTAGTGCTGTCTTCGTAAATTCGTTGGTTTCTAAGGTAGTAGAAGAGAACGAGGTTGTTCTTTAAGCATCGCAGCCAAAGGCTCTCGTTTTCGACAGCGATCATAATAACTCCGGTTTGACCAGCGCCCAATGACCAGCTTGGTAAATGATCGTTGGACATATTCCGGAGCTGTTCTGTCTTTCTTTCTCAGTTGGCTGTGAACCATAGTACAGTATACCAGAGTCGTTCGTACTATTGTCTTGAATGACTCAAGTCGTGATTCAGGTAGGGAGAAAGTTCTGGTGATATATCCGCCTAGCTGTTTTGTTTTTACAACCTGATAAAGCACATGTTCGGAGTAATTAAGAGAGTTGGAGTACCTAATTTCTGAGTCCCGAACTGAATCAGACTTCGGGATCATGTTTCTGGCAAGTTTGGTAGAGCCGTCTGGGATGCGGCATCTGTACCCAACTACTTGGGATTTCACTGCGGAGAACTTCATTAATCAACGTTCACTAGCTATATTTAGTGCGGATAGGTCTTCACAGATGTTTCCCAGACACACACTACTCACAAACATCCACCATTAATCTACCATCGCCCATTGGACGTCTGAAGGACAGGAACTTCGGTCTATTGGGAAGTGACGGGTGAGTGAGCCAATCTGCAACATCAGGACAGGTACTGTGAGCTTATTGGCAACACGTCGCGCACCAAGCAGAAGACATGTGTTAAAATTTGCGCACCTAATCGTCAGCCCTCGGTAGCTCAGGTGGTAGAGCAACGGTCCGGAAATTCGTGGACCGGGGTTCGACTCCCCGTCGAGGCATATTATTGTGCGTGAATTTTAATCGTGGCTTCTACTTTCTTCGAACTTCACACTACTCACAAACATCCACCATTAATATGTGTAGTTGGCCTGGATGAAATGAGCAGGTTAATTTGACGTCGTCTGCTAACAGAAATGAGTGTCTATGTTTGATCAGATCGCATATATTGTTTACGTAGATTAGGAAAAGTATTGGTCCGAGCACACTTCCCTGGAAGACGCCGTTGGTTAGTTGTTTCGGTGTAGCATGGTGTTGACCGATGTTAACTACCTAAGTTCGACCGTTTAGGTATGAGTCGAACCAAGTAAGCAAAGGATTTCCAATTCCGTATGACTCTAGAGCAGACAGCAGTGACTTGTGCGGCATGCAGTCGTACGACTTTTACATGTCCAACAGAATTATGCTGATTGCCATTCATCTGTCAATCACAGTCGTGACGTGACTGAGGAATTGTAGCTGACAGGTAACGCAGGAGCATTTGAGAGAAAGCCATTTTGTGGGGATTGATCAGATCCAGTCTTGTAAGATATTGAAGGATGTTCTTCTTGACTATTCTCTCTAAGGCTTTGGAAGCAGCAGAGGTGTGATGTATTGGGCGGTAGCTTGAAATTTTATTCCTTGCACCATCCTTGTATTTAAGCATTATAATGGATTGCTTCCATTAACTTGGGAACCAACCGGTAGTGAGAGCAAGTGTAAAGAGGTTTAATAACAGTAGAGCGAGGTTTTTTCCGAGTTTTATAATAGTTGGGGAGATGCCATCTGGGTCTGGACAGGTTGATGGTTCTATGGATGGGATGGCACTTTGCACCTCCGTTAACGTCACAGAAAGATTGCAGTATAGCTCAGTCGTTCTTTTTGGAAGTGGAGGATGAAATAGCTGAGCGTTGGGGAGAAAACAGGAGGCAAAACTAGAGTTGATAACCTCGTATATGCGGGAGATGTCGCGCGTTATTGAACCATCATCTACAGCCAACGTGTCAATTTCCTGATGGGATTTAGGGTTCCTTCTTTTGAGTAGTTGCATCAATCTACATACTTCCTCAGGATTTATAAGTACCCGAGTATTTTCTTTGAGTTTGGCCGTTTGGGTTAGACGTTGCAGAGGTAGCAGATTCTCGTGTATTTGAAGCAATGTTGCGAAGCTGTTGTTCCTGCGATATAGCGATTTAAATTTCTTTAATTTGGTTTTGGCTTTGTACAGAAGCTTAAGTTGACCACTATGTTCATATGTATTTCTCCATACAGTAGGTACAAGTAGATCCACACTAAGGGCAATATTGTTGATAAACTCATTTGCAGCCACAGTAGGGTTGTGAGTTAGGAATGACGTATTCCAATTCACTGTACTGATAAGTTCATTAAATGAGTTCCAGTCTACACGATGGAGGTTGCGAATGGGTTTTAGCATTTTACTTGCTCTTTTAGGTAAATCAATAGTCATATCACAAAGCCCCGTGTTGTGATCACAGTCAGGTAGTGGATTATCAGTGAATATATAAGTGTAAGAGATCCCCATAGTAAATATAATGTTTAAGGTTGTGCCACTTCTGGTTGGCTCTCTAACTTGTTGGGTCCAGCCATTGAGGTGAATACATGAGATGATTTCCTCAATCCCATGCAGATTAGTCAGCAGTGAGTCCAATTCCGTTGACTCAGTTCATTACCATTTATAGGTCACGGCATTAGCATTTTCATATTCACATTCTTTTGAGAATTTCTGGATGCACAAGAAGCATTTTTAACGTAATAGTTGTGATCTACTCTGGTTGGAAGAGGCGTAACAAATAAAACCGAGGATTGATGGACTCTAGTAGATCATTTAGATTCTGCAAAGCGGTGAGACAAATAACTTTAGTAATCATTTCGCATTTTGGAGTGGTCCCCACTTAATTTCATCGCATCTTTTTTATGCAATACATTAACAAATAGGAAGAAACGGTCTCAGGTGATCGACCGTGTTGCATAGATTTTGAGGTTGTTAGAATATGTCAACCTCAAAAGTCAGTCTGTCCGTCTTGAATTGGTGCTGGTAGGTTACCATAGGTTTCAGATTAAATGGCCTAGATTTTTAAAATGCGTATGTCATTCCTATGATGATGGAAGCATTTGTAGTTGGCACTGTCACTAATATGGCACAGGCACTTATCCTTTCACCAACACTCACACTGCTGTACCGTTGAGGTGCATTTGGGAGACAAACATTCGTGGAATACAGTGAGTGGAGAGGACAACACCGAATCATTCACTACAATCCTAAAAACGGAAGCCCACAATTCAGGTATGTTGGATAGTGGATGCTAAGTTCTAACTGTTTAGACACCCACATTGGAGTGTGATCAGTAATCAGGCATGCATGTTGTGAGTACCAATTACCATTTCCCAAGGAGCTATGCCTAAAGTTATACTTCTCTACTAAGCCACTGGGGCTGGATGTAGATTGTCGAAATCGAGCCGAATATAGTGAACTATTTCATAGTTCTTGTTCGCACGAGCATTGCCTAAGTACCGTTGTCGCTTCGAGTACATTGCAATGCGTATCATGGGTCAGCGTTCTGCCGATCCAGAGTCCTTACCTCCCCTGTCCACAACGTAGACACATTTGACCTGACCCGCCATTTAGGCGCTCACGTTAGACTTGCCAAAAGCCAAAGCTGGTACATCAGACCTTTTAAGTATAAATAAAAATTTCGATCCAGAAGGTGGTTATTAAATTTTGTCGCCGATCATTTACTGGATATAATATTATCAATGCCAATAGTCAAGTGTTAACCATAGTGCCAATTGAACCCCAAATGTAGCTCTGAGATGAAAATCAGGATAACCTGTTCCACTGTGCTGATGGCAGATCAACAGAAGGAAATAAACAAAGGGTCCAGAAAATTTGGATCTCAATCGTGCATTCCAAGGTGCAATTATAAACTCATCTTTGTCCTGGGGGTGCTCGGTACACACGGTCTAAGTGCATGAAAATTTCCGTACTAGGATTGGGAGTAGCGTGTCCAACTCACCGTTTTCGGCTCTCTGCTAGAGCACAACTGTTCTCGACTAAGCGTGATGAGGCGCATTGCAATTAACATGTAAAGGTGAATGGAACGAAATACTTAACACAGCTCAAAAAGTTGCTCAGGGTACTATGTACCAAACGAAACGCATCAATTAGACGGTTCTAGTAAAAATCGTTATATGACGCCTAGAGGAAAAGTATTTATTTCATACAGAGCAAACCCATGTTGCTCCTATATCCAAAAGCACAACTGCACACGATTTTAGGTACGGATCACGTATTTATGCCGACCATTGCGGTGAATTTCTAGGTATTAAAACTTTAACAAATCAGTGCCAGTTGACTTGTAGTTAAAGTATAAGTTAAACAACATTTGGCATGATCATCTTTCTTCAAAAACTGCATCATAAGCACAGCGATTATGATCGAAAACCACCCATTAGTCAACCACACTGTGGCAATTAGCTAAATTATAGAACGCATTCACCGGAAGTGCATAATAGCAGTGGATTCCAAACTGAAGTATTGCAATTTGTCCGCGTTGAAATAGTCCGATGTCCTATTGGCAGCTTATATACTTCCCTAAAAGACAGGTGCGAGGTGTATAACACATTGATTTGGCCACAAACCTGTATTTTGGTGTAGGATCGGACGAATTATCCGGGCCTGGTCCGTCAGTCACGAAACATGCCAGCTGGTAAATCAACATGTTTCCGGGCCACTGGCATTTCCACAAATCGGAGTCAAATGCCAAGTTTGCGCACGTGCGTTCCGTCCCACTTGGTAGGATATTTGTAATACTGCATGGGTAGAGCTGATTCAGCATACTTAAAGTGCGTCTAAAAATGAGGCTGTCTTCTGACACATCATCCGGATAAGTTGGTGAAGACGCACTGTCGATCGATTTGCACTCCGCAGTAACAATGTGCTTGTCGTAGTTCTTTGAAGCGTTTTTACTTGGTGAAACTTCTTTCGTTTTTGAGATTTTTCGGTGCTTTAGCTTAAAGATAGAATAAAATTTATTTTGGAAGTAGAATTGCATGGGCAACATAGGTATAATGACTTCAGAAATTTTTGAGGTAGTTCACTGTTTATGTGTTTCCTTTTAACCCACCTACTAGGAGAAACATTCGCTCCTACTCAATCCTGCTCATCGGTTCCGACGACTCTTGTGCTTAAAAATTCGTCTCAGGCACCATCTAATAAAGCACCACAAAATATTCAAGCTACCCGGCATCCCAGATAGCATCTATAGGTGAACACCGGATGTGTTCGAACACCTTGGGTTATCCCTTTCAACACGATCACCTAGAGTACAAGTCTGCGAACACAGTAGATCACAGGAACGTCCTCCAGCTATGCATTTCAGCTGCCATTGAATTATCCCATTCCAACGGCTCATACGCTTACTCGAAACGCACGGAACTATAGAAGTTCTCATTAACGCTCGTTCTTTAAACAAGAATACTTTTTTCGTCTTTTTATGTGTTTGCCGATACCTCAACTGATTCTCTTTGTCGAAAGCGTTTCGCTGATCAGACCCAGGGATCCAATTAGAAAACCCCAGGCGATAACCGCGGCGATACTAACTTAATCATAGACCAGACAGTTTTCACTTCAAATTTGAGTGAACGGTTAAAAATATTACGGACCCAATATGATAACGATCGATATCAACAAGTGCAGCGTTTATAATCAGCGCTTCCACAGCGCACCCCATTGAATAAGATCAAAGTTCGTAGTTTCATAAAAACAGTCGATTTGATCTCAGGCCGCTCAGTAAAGGTCGAACTAGTCGAAGGAACTCGTCAGCGGTGTGCACACTTTCGGTCCCCTACTTGGGATCGAACCCATGCTCGCTAGACGCTGACGCCAACTAGCCGGCCGCTTATGCCACTGAGTCATGGGGATGGGGGCTAGGCTCTTTCCCAGCTAACCTCACTGAAGTTGTTTTGATCCTTTTTCGCAAGACTGGTTGTAGCAGATTATGCCAACGCGGAATGAAGCCTCATTTGGTCTGATTTGCACCTTGGCTTTTTCTGATGGGAAACTCATGATTCTAAGCAAAATCCCGAGTAGTAGACATGTCGTCGCTAATTTCCTTTCCGCATCAAAAGAACTTATTCTACTTGTCATTTTCTTGTGGCCGTTCGGTTACTTTCGTGACACTGATGAGATATCTGCAGCAGAGTTGTTTGGTCATGGCATGCAACTCAGCAGTTGAAGTCGAGGTAGTTTGGCTTCATAAGAACAAACATTCACCAGGATTATTGCGAAATAAACGCCCCATTAACACCGCAGACGTTCGTGTCTCAATCCTTTAAAAAAAGGAGTAAATTAGTTACCAATTGCATTAAATTTTATGATTTCAGCAGACCATATCAACTGCATAATGTAATTTCGAAATGCAATGGAGCAAAGCTAAAGAAAAACATCAAACCCTCGTAAGGTCAAATAAACTGGAAGGACTTAGGAAATTAATTGGGAGAGAAGAAGGATTCAGATAGGATGACATCACATCCATGGCATCGTTCATATGTTCAGCAGCGATGAATTATACGGCCGTAGACAATCTTTTCAAAGAGCATTTTTTCACTTACAAAAGCATTAATAAAATATCACAGTCCGTCGAAAGCACCTCCAGCTTATGCACTGTGTATGGTAGACGTTCCTACTGAAAGGATAAAGAAAAATCAATCCGCCATGACAAAGTTCTTCTACGGCGGTTCTGATAGAGTTCTACCAGCTTAATTAAATTAAGGCAATCTTCATACCTCTGTCCTCTTGGGGAACAAACTTTCCTTATGACTGAGACTCAGTTCTTTTATGTCCTACTGGAAAGCAGGCGATATAGTAGATTTAAACGAGGGTGCGAAGCGTTACCTAGCAAGCGCCCGCCCGATGAGCCATGCTTGCGTGTTTCTTACGCTTATTAGGAGCATGATAACAACTGCAATTTTCCAGTTTTTACTTTCAAAGCGTCCAATTTTATAGTCAACCGTAGTTTATTGCAACGCGACTCTTAGAAATCATTCAGGTTAGACGTTCTTAGCTAGGTCACAAGCTCAACCGAGGAAAGCACAGCTTACAGCTTCAGTTTCTTTGACATGCAAAGTGCTTTTGATGAAGTAGCTAATGGCAAACTTTTGACCAATTTGGTTCCTTCAATACGTTACAAACACTAACCAAGCAGTTAAAGACGATAAGAACATATTCTATCATAACCCTGTAACAAATTACGTGCTTGCAGGCCACCGCATTTTCGCCGTGTGAACTAGCGAAGTTTTGTCATTCTTGTCCACGCTAGACATTACATTTGCGGCGATGGTATGCACACATCCGATTTCTGGGATCAGGAGCTCCTGCCTCGAAATATGCAATAAACACAAATGATTGTTTCCGTTGAAAAGAGGAATGTTGGCTAATGATAAGAAATAAAGACTAAACTAAGCATACTATCTGGCAAACCGTTAGCTTGCGGAAGTTTGGGAACGAGGCCAATGGTTACTCTGTTGCAACAGCCACAACTCCTCCCGAACCTGTGAAGTACACCACTGTTAAAGTCCTCGAGCTATTTAATATAACCAGTGCCAGACATATGCTGTACATTGTATGTGTAGTCCCAATGTTACGTTATCTTCTTCAACAACACAAGACACTGTGCCAACTACACTGGAACGTTTTCAGTGGGTTTTACAAGCCTTTGCTTTGATTATTACCCGAAGACTACGAATTCATGAACATTACAAGCTGTTGCAGTTTTACGATATGATTGAGTAGTCCAGCTGGTTACACCATCCAGCTGCAGCACACGGCGCAGCACCGCATTCACAACAATGAGTTCTTTCTCCTAACGGCAAAGTGGCAGATCATAATGCGGCCAAGCATTTTCCCCATTACATCTACATCGATTTGGCATCGCCCCAACTACCTACTAGATTCTGAGCGCTTCTTGGTGGAAACGAACGACCGTCAAGTATGAAACCACCCCACCTGTAAATTATGGCAGCACGATCAATTTGGGTCCACAGCTGGAAAATTGAGGGGGGACACCAAGTAGCATTTCTGCGCACACTGCTAAGAAACTACCGGTGCTCAGCGCAAAGTCGCAACAGACACTCGCTGTTGTACATACACTCGGAGTTAAGTGCATACTTTCCACCTAGCTGAGCTTGAAAATAGCCCAGACGACCTATCTGCGCATTCACATCCCCTGTAAGAACATTGACGTTTGAACGGGTAGTACTGCCTATTAGCTTGTTCAGATCGTGTTAGCAAGCGTCATTGACACCATCAGAGCTGCAGTCGGTGGAGGCATAAGTGGAAAGCACCAACAAACAGCAAATGGTACAGCCTCATGAATCTTACTTGATGTCGTCAAACGGGTTGCACACAAATGGCCGTTCACATGAATCCAATCAAGCAACAATGACTCAGCTCTGGAGCTGAGACCGATGTCCACTCCAGCGTGACCAGAGGTGGCAGCATCACCGTCTCCAGATGCGTGAAACCAATAACGAGAGGACAAGCCGTTGCAGTCAGTTCAACAGCCAAGTGTGTGCCATTGGTCTTAGTTTCGGACGCACAGCACACGTCAATACCCAATGTGTTCAACATACGTGCGAGTGCAACCTGTTGACCTATCTGTTCTTGAGTGCGAACGTTGAATGTCGCCAGGAAAACAGAACAGCGGGGCCCTATAAAAAGGTGTTGGCGATTGGCGTTTAGTGAGTGGTACGGAAAGGCAGCTCCACAAGGTAGAACTGCAGTGGCATTGCGGCCGCTGTCAATTGGGCCGCGAGTTATCGAAGAAAGGCTAGTAATTAGAGTTGGGAGAGGAGTAAAGTAAACAGGTTCAAAGAAGGAAGGCGGCATCAGTAGTATGTTTTCGGTTATCCCCCCTGCTGTTTTCAACAGATAAGGCAACTGTTGCAACGCAGCGTTATAGCTGATGGTTAAAGTTTGAAGAAATAGTTATGGCTGTATTTGGAATAAGATACTGCCATAGCGCCCAGACCTAGACAAGAGGACGCTTAGTCTCAAAAGCCTATTCGCAAGGCAGGGGCTATAGCAACAATTCGCTTTTACGGAAATGGACTCCATCCCATTTCAAACCGGAAACTGAGAAGAGTAGGAGACTGAGTCTGTCTGACCGCTAATTATTGACCAACCTTGTAAGAGTAGCTCTCAATGGGCCCGAGGGCCCATTAGTTTAGCTCAATGGGTCGATAAACGAAGCAAACCATCGCATGAACTTAACTTCCAGTCTCGTTGCAACAGCTATCGGAGGTGATGGAAGCATTCTTCACTGAGGCATTAGTGAACATGCCTTCAGTCAACACCATTTGTGCACCACCAACTAGATGATGGCAGGAGTAGTTTGAAGGAAGCGACTGCTGGTGGGGCCGGAATCGACATCGTCTACCTTGACTTCTCTAGAGCTTTCGACCGCCTGAATCACCGCATTCTACTTCATAGGCCACAGAACTATGGAATCAAGGCTCCAGTCCTTGTGTGCATTGTCAACTTGTTTTACCAACAAAGGATTCAAGTGCGTGCTAGAAGATCGCTCTCCAATCCGATTAAGGTGAAGTGCAGTGTTATACAGAGTTTGGTGCTGGAACGCGCTTGTTGCTGGTGTTTATAAACAACTCAATAAATGTCATCTCAAAGTTGCTGCTTTTTTCGATGAACTTGTGATACGGCGATCGATCATTGACAATAAAACACACAACTTTCCCAAACATGACATGGATTGCGCTCACGAGTGGGCAACGAGGAATCTACCTCAGTTTAGCTCGGTTAAGTGGAAGGTGATTCATCTGCGTCATCAGCTGATGAACGTGTATACGTTTAGACAGTATAATCTTACAGAACGCCTACTGCACGATCTCGATTGCTCGAAGCAAGCACAGAAGGCGTCGAGAATCAGTTGTCAGCGTGTCGGCTTTATTCGCAGAGCGTTCGATCGGTTTGACCACAAAATCTGCTTATAAACGC